CTTTCAGACAGGATGGCTGGTGTCACCCAGATGCAGATACATGTGGTATAATTAAACTCTACATAATAAACATCCACAGCTGAAACTAGAATACGTCAGTAACTAATGACAGGGTTAATAATTTGATTCTAATTCTTTCATGAGGAAAAAGTAGAGGTTAAAAAAAAAAAAAAAAAAGGTTAAAGTTGCACAGCTACATTATGAAAAATGTTTCATAGCTCAATTTTGCATTTGATCTCAGAAGCACGGAGATAGACCCAAAAGCAACGATCCAACGTACACGGACTCCTCTCAGCTCAAACGACATCGACCCACAGCTTCAAAACACGCCAAATGTGGCCGTGCGATGTGAAGCAGCGGTTTTTGCTGGATTTGCAGGTTTTTGTAACGACACCGTGGCCGATGCCTTTCAAGGCCCGTCTCCTCCACTTGAGCTTAGCCGCTCTCATCTCTCTGTCTCTGCTTGTCCGTTCCAGCGGGTTTGCTTTGGATGCTCGAGTGCTGCTTTGCGTTGCTTTCCAAATGTCTGCTGCCTCCTTGCTGCCGTTGGCCTCTTGTGGACAACAATGCATTTTAGTGGGGAAGCCCTAACCCCTCACCCTCCAGGGTTACAGCGGGATCAAACTAATGGACAGGACTGACACGCGTTCGGCGTGTAAAATAGAGCATAAGGCAGTAGAGGCCAAGCGTGTTTTCAGTTGACGTGGGAGAAACATCCCTTACAGCAGGACACGAGGATGGACATGACCTCTGACTGTCCAGTTTGAGTCAGATGAGTCTTCCATCACTTTTGTCTTCAGATGACAGCTTTTACAAAGTGCATCTCCACGATTTACTTTGCAACGCGTTAATATCAGGACCGCACACAAGTCTCATTAGATTTGCATTTCCTCTGTAAAACTGGATAATACAAGTCAAACTATGGCACAGCAGTTTTGTGGTGTGTGTGTGTGTGTGTGTGTGTGTGTGTGTGTGTGTGTGTGTGTGTGTGAGTCTGTGTGTAGAGTTGTGTTAACCCCTGTTCAAACACACTGTGTGGTAGTGTGGGTGTGGCGTTACACCTCGCGTGGCACTGGGCAGCTAAGATAAGAGCTGATCCTATCCATGCCTCCCTTCTGCAGCGCCCGCCCCCACACACACAAACACACACACACATCTAGTGTGGTACCCAACATGCCATTGTAATCTCATTTTACAATCCTGATGCCCACAGCCGCAAAACACACAGAGAAGCCAACTAAATCCAGATGTCACGCGTACACTACGCTGGAGGGCTACGGTGATACGGGAGGTCACATGGTGGAGCCGGCGCCACGTCCACCACGGCTTCAAGTCTCCCTCTCTCTCTGTCCATCTTCGCTTGCAATGTCCAATTAATCAGAAAGAGTGCATTTTCCCACAACTATTGATAAAAGAAAGATGTGACGGGCTCAGAAATATTCAGGCCCAAAGCAGCGTCACTCATTCACTAACACATCAGGTCCAGAGTGAAAACACATTCAGACGATAAAAGCCTTTTTCTTCTTCTTCTAGACCGCACGACAAAACTACAGAACCACACAAGAGAGAAAACTATCCTCCAGGAGGGGAGGAGAGGGAGCGCTTACCTTCCCTCCTCTGGGAGATAGAGTTACCATTGGGTACAAACTGCTCTCCTAATTCACCAAGACTTTCAGTGATGCACACACACGCACACACACACACACACACACACGCAAGCACGCACACACACACACACACACACACACGCACGCACACGCACCTTCTGGTCTCCAGTTCATTACCACTTTCTGCCTACTGTTACCTATCCTATACTAAAAGGAGGATGTTATATTCTTTTTCAGATAAAAATGGACCAAATAAACCACATGAGGTTTGATACGAAATATTGTGCAATGAATTACGGGTTAGTTTTTTTTTTTTTTTTTTTTTTTTAAATCAAAACAAAAAAAAGTCTGTTGAGAAGTATTTTATTTTGTGTCACGTTTCTTCTCCATCCAGATCTAAAGACGGTGAAACCTGGTTCCAGTGGTCCAGGCCACGGTTATTGGGCTCATCTCAGGCGTGGTGAGGCTCTCACACACACACACACACACACACACACACACACCTTTGTGTTGTATGCACACACACCATCAAACTCCAACAGAGACACAACTCCCCTTTCATTCAAAATTGTCTCATTTTCTCACATTTTCAAAACGCAGAAAATTAATAACATTAATAATAAAAACATGTTTTCTCAAGTATGAAATTTGTTTGACAGCCGCCCGGTCCGTGTGCGTGTGCGTGTGTGTGTGTGGGGGCGGGCTGAGTGCAAGTTTAGCCGAAAGTGTTTTCTACTTGATATTTAAATGCTGCCCTGTGAAGAACTAACAGCCACATTAAAACAAATGAGCACCTGCAGTCGCGGCCACAGATGTATGTGGGTGTTTTTTCCTTTAAAAGTTTCCACAAAAAAAATAAAGAAATTTTCATAGATTATTTTGACAAAGACCACTTTCAGACAGGATGGCTGGTGTCACCCAGATGCAGATACATGTGGAATACGTTAAACTCTACATAATAAACATCCACAGCTGAAACTAGAAT